ATTCGAGGAAAGTGTAAAACGCTGGGAAACACATTATTAATGCATGCACATTGAGCACTTTGACCATTTGGTTTTAGGTCTCATAATCTTCTTCTTTTATGGACTTTGCACACATTTTATGTCTCAGACCCGAATAAATAAAAAGGGATGCAATAGGTTGAAGGTCTGCATATGATGACTCCTTATAGTGCTGAATATGCTTATGTTAAGTCCAATATTTTCTTTGAGGCATTTGAGTCTGTTTAGAATTATATATCAGCACAAAAAGAAAGAACCTTTGATGTTAAATAATCTCAATTTATTGAGTAATTGAATGAAACGGGTCCAAAATCAAAGAAGATAATAGATGTTGAGGATTCAATGCAATGAAACTACATTAATGCGTTATTTACTTCTCTTATTTAACCTTATTAATATGTCTATTGTGTATTTATGATAAATATTTGTTGAACTGGTTGCATAATTTTTATATTAGCACCCTTCTATTGAAACACCACCTGCATCCCATTTAACATTCGTTTCCCTTTGCTTATTTTTATTCCTCTTTATCTTCTATTTTGTCAAAACATGGTCAGAGGAGTGATGGAATCATATGCTTGACATTTGGAGATTAAGGTGATTGACCATGCATGGCCTTTTAGAAGTTCCAGTCTGTCCTACTCATGTTACTCGGACTCTTCAAATGTCATCGGGTGCGTGTCAGATCCTTCAAAATTAGTGCATTTTTGGAGGATCCGTCACTGGGTCGGCAACATTTTGGATAGTCCGTCTAATACATAACTATTTCCAAGTATTATCAAAAAGTATTATCAAACCATCATTGGAGATGCTCTCTCTATTTTAGTGTTTGTGGCATTCTTACCTACTTTCTGGACCCTATGTTAAGAATTCTCATTTGCCACTTCTCCAGTGGATTTTGAGTCTATGACTTGTTATGAGATGAACGTGTTGTTTTTAAACCTTGTTATTGGGGGTTCTCTTTTGATCAAGTAAGGTAAGCTTTCATTTGATCAATCATCGAGAGGATACAGGGGGTAGAAAAACCATGTTAGGATCAGCGAAATCAAATCCGCTATTAATTGTATCCCGTTAAGGGGAAGAATCATTATAGAATCATCTTGTTTCCTTTTGGGCAGGAAAGCTAATGATTATAATCAAGAAAGGTCAAAGTATTAACTTTGTTAGGCACCATACCTAATACTAGAACAAGTACATAAGCACCCAAGGGTGTGACCTAGTGATCAATGAAGTGGTAGGCGAATCATGAGGTGTCAGGTTCAAATTCCAGTGGAGACCACTAGTTGATTTCTTCGTATCTGTCTAAGCCTCGATGGACATGTCTTGGTGGAAGGTAGTAGGTACATGGTAGAATAGTCGAGATGTGCACAAGTTGGCCTAGACACCACTATCACTAAAAAAGAAAAAAGGAATCGTTATATTGAGAATAACTTAATGTGTATCCACATCTCTATTCTTGTCAAACATGTATAATGTTGTTTGATCTTGCTCTCTAACTCCAGTTTCTAGTCCTACATCATGAAACAAGTTGTACATCTTCCAACAAGTTCATCATGGTGATTTTTCCATGTGTGTAATGGATTCTAAGCACAAAGGATTCTATAGGCTTATTGTTTGTCAGGAGTCCTATTCTGGTAGTATGTGTCCGTGTATGGGTAAGTGTGAGATTAATAGAATCTCTACTTTTGGGGAAACCTTACGTTGAACAAAGCGGGAAAAGATACAGAAGACTCATTTAGCAAGCCCTAGTAAGTCTGCTACCTGGGGTTAGTCCATTGTTTGTAATAGATTCTTTTATTCATCCAGTTTTTGGATTTTCCATTATATTGGTCCATGGTCATACCTTTAGAAGGATATATTATTGTAATGCTGTAGATATTATGTTCTTATCCATTCCCTCTGCTAATTGGTTTCGTTTTGCCAAAAGATCCATCCTATGCTGCTTTTCATGACGAGGAATGGGGAGTTCCAGTCCACGACGACAAGTGCGTACTCCTACTTTATATTTTCCTATTCTTTTGTGGCTTGCAATAAACAAGGCAATTAAATGTGATGGTTTTCTCAGTCTGGGTTACTACTATATGCAGGAAGCTCTTTGAACTTCTCAGTTTATGCACTGCATTAGCTGAACTCTCATGGCCGGCAATTCTCAGTAAAAGACATATGTTTAGGTACATTACGCTCTGCACCAGTGCTTTGGAGTACCAGAAAATTGGTTATCATTTCATATCTAGTTGCCTTACAAAAGCTGCTGCTTCAATTTGAACTATTTGTTATGCAGAGAAGTCTTTCAAAATTTTGACCCAGTTGCAGTCTCAAAACTAAATGAGAAGAAGATAGCACCACCAGGAAGTCCTGCCAGCACTCTTTTATCAGAGGTAAAGCTACGGGCAGTTATTGAAAATGCACGCCAAACCTGTAAGGTACGTGAAAGTTTTCTGTCTTATTGAGTTGTCCTTGTCTTGAAGAAGAAAAACCTTCCTTGTACAGCTAGGAGAAATTAAATTTTATTGGTTAGGATAAATTTTTTGAAGCTTTCGTAGTTCTTGGCTCTTGAACCTTCTTCAGATTTTCACAAGTCAAAATGTCGGTTCTTAGATATTCCACCAAGATAACTGTCAGCTTTACATAAATTAAAAGGGAGGCTGTTGGACCTTTTTTAGGTAATGAAAGAAGATTGCTACGGGAAACTGCTTCTTAACCACAGATTATTTCAAGCTCAAAAGTTTTCAGTTTAGTCGGTCTGCATTTATTGTATCAGCTGTCTTGAGCTGAAAGTCTTGCTGTTGCTAATTCTGTTTCCCTGGAAACTGATGGTTTCTGTACTGGGTGCAAAATTTTCAAAATACTCGGCAGATGCATGTGATATGTTTTCTAAAGTCAGAAACTACAGATATGATGTGCTTATTATGAAATATAAGGCATTAGTTGTGGCTTTAATAGGTATGTCATTCTAGAGGGTAGGCTATTAAATGTCAAAAGAACTTCTAAAAGGAGAAAGAGAAACAAAACTTTATTAGAATACACCTCATTTCAAATTGAAAAAGTGAGACCCGGGATTATGGGGATCAAAATATCAAATATGGGCTTTTTACATCTTTTGAAGTAGTATCGACATATTTTAAAACTACATTACAGTATTAAATCATTTTTTTTTGTAATTAAAATATGAAAGAAATTTTTAGAAGGTTGTCGTCGAAGAGAAAGTCATGATTGGCTGCTTAAACTGGTTCCTTAATAGTAACTGTCAGTGAGTAGTAATTTTAGAGTTGTCACTTCAGAACAATTTTTGATGTCATGCTCATGTTACCCTCTCAGATCATCGATGAACTTGGATCCTTGGACAAATACATATGGGGTTTTGTGAATAACAAACCTATAGTTAGTCAGTTCCGATATGCAAGGCAGGTGCCAATGAAGACGTCAAAAGCTGAAGGGATAAGTAAAGACCTAGTTAAAAGAGGATTCAGAGGAGTTGGACCTACTGTCGTGTACTCATTCATGCAAGTAGCTGGAATCACAAACGACCATCTCATCAGTTGCTTCAGATTTCATGATTGTGTAGCTGCAACCGATGGAATGGATAAAGATGATGGCCTTGCAGCCAAGATAGAAGTGAAGCAACAACTCAAGGATGAAACTGAGATGGGCCTTATAAGAGCTATTGATGAATTCAATTTATCGACATAGTGAAATGTGTTCAGAGTAGTAGTGCAATGTAATTTATACTCCTAGTAGATTTGGTAGCTTTACGCCCTTGGTTGCGATACAGTTGAAAGGGCGGCAAGTGCTTGTGTACAAATGACCTTGCTTATTATTTTTACCATTGATGTGTACATCTGATCTATATCTACATCTAGTAGGGATTGCAATGGGGCGGGAGGGGAAATTATGAAAATTTAGCACCTAAGGGTGTGGCCTAGTGTTTGAAAACACTAGATGATTCTTTCTATCAACCCTAGCCTTGGTGGATAGAGTTACTTGGTACCTGTTGCTAGTGGAAGGTGGCAGGTATCCCGTGGAATTAGTCTAGGTGAGTGAAAGCTAACTCGAATGTAATCATAAAAAAATGAAAATTTAACAAGAAGTAGTGGGGGAAAGGGGGGTGTACAATTTGATTTAAAATCTTAATGTAGCAGTACAAGGCCAAAATGGGCAATGTGGAGTAGGTTTTTAGGAGGGGGGGGGAATTAAGTTAAAGATTAGCTTATAGAATTGTCATTGACAAATACTTTTCAACATTATGTTATGTGTGGTCTCTGGCTTACTTGGTATCACTACAAACTACTATTTTTTTATGAGCGGAGGGTTCTAGTGTCTATCAAAAACTTCTTTATCTTTATAAGGTAGGAATGAGGTTGCGTACACATCATCTTCTTTAGATTTTACTTGTGAAATTATAATGAACAAGCTGTATTACTTTTTTATTCCACCAAGAAATTACATCTTGTCTTTTAAATAGGATATAAATATTGAAGCAATGACATCAAGTGGCTGATGTTAACATTTAGAAACCAATATCTATTTCAATTTATAGTCTCACAATGCCCCTGAATTCCCTTATTTTAATCCTTAGATCAAGAATTTTTTCTGCTAAAATACGGGTCAAGTAAATTATCCCTCCTTCAATGAACCAAAAATTCAGTTTCACGTGTGGTCTTTTCTTCTTTTGACTTCAACCTGGCCTCCATTTCTTGACCTTAGTCGAATAGAAGAGAAACCAATTTAAAAAAACAAGTAGCAAATGAGCTTGTCATGCTAAAATAGTTCAAAGATATTATGATATTATCCACTTTGGATCGAATCTGTACAGTTTTTCCTAAAATACTCGCACAATTAAGAATATTCTTACCCCTTTTATGTATGATGTATCTCCTGTTTTTTCTTTTCTTTTCAGTAATCAATATAAACTTTATTCACACGCCCAAAAGAATATAACAAGTTAGAGAAGCCATAGTCTACACAAAAGTAAGGAGGAGAAATCAAATTATTAAATATTTATTTGAGCAAATTCAACAATTTAATTTAAGACCCACCAAAAGTCTCAATCTTGTGAGACTGAAAGGCGCAAATTGAGACCTAACTAATATAGGCTGCTATAGAAAATTGGCACATTCCATTTCCACGTGCACTTACTAGTCCAACCTACTGCCTACTGTTCTCCAAAAAAAAAAGACAATTATAGTAAACACTATATACAGCATGTCCTAGTGGCTGCCTGTCTTTCTCTGCAACATTTCAATGTGAGACATAATTTTCGTTTTAATTATTCATTTATCCTTAGTGTTATTATTATTTTGCAAGAATTTTCCTGATATGGCGGCGGCTAAGGCCGCTTGAAAACTTGGATCTTTAGTCAATGATGAAGCCATTTGTTCTATCAAGAAATGTTGAAACTCTGGTCTATTTTGGTGTTGTTGATGATCATTTCCTGGTGATGTACGCTTGTGACCACTTGTACTTGTATTGCTGTTCACTTTTTTGACATCATTTTGTAATGTTTTTGGTTCAGCCAAATCAAGAGTTAACATTGGTTTTGGTCCTGATGTGTTGATGATATTAGTAGTGGAACTTGGCATTACTGAAGCAGTATAATTACCCGAAACATTGTTTTTTGGGTTGAAACGGCTAGAAGGGGAAGTTGTTGTAACAGTATCCACTTTAGAATGGTTGTGTTCTCCTTCATAGGTTGCTACTAGAATCGATTGGTCTTCCACGCTTCTTTGAACCTGACAAATTAACACCATTGTTAGAAAAAAAAAACATTGAACTAGAAAAGACTAATTTGTGATCTATATTAGTATATATTGAATTCAAAAATTGTCTTTTATCTCTTTATCCTTGTTATTAAAGTGGATGATAAGTAAATTACACCTTGTACTTGATGTTTACTTAAGTGTTACATCTCTAAAATACATTTAAAATGAGATGGAGGGAGTTTTAAGTTTAATTTCTTTTCAAATTTATACATAGTTCAAGTCAAAAATAATAATTAAGTTGAGTTGAATCTAGAAATGTAGCTGTGAATTCATTTCTGGCCACCAAAATACATAAAATATCTGGAAGCTGCAACTAGGAAACTTCAAGGAAAGTTGGGTTACCTAATTATTTAATTACTCCTACTTGTTCAGTTGTTTCCTAATCGAAAATGACTTGGGACATTTCATACTATTTCTTAGCATCTTTTAGAGTCATTTTGGTTTTACTTTGAATAAATATTAGTTCAATGAAGTAAATTAATTCAGAATGAGTAAACTTGTACATTAGGCTCTAAAATTGTATTACTAATTAGTATTAGCTGTACCTTTTTTTTAACGGGGCAGGTAGGAGCAAAAGAGCACTTGAAATAAGCTCTTGGAGATGGGTTGTCTCTTGTTACTTTCTGTCCATATTTCCTCCATTGATATCCATCTTTCACTATCTGCAACAACATTATTAACTTTCCCATTAGAAAAACAACTTAAATACTGAAATCAGCTATGAACTTTGTCGTTCATATGTTACTTTATAGCTCATTATATTGTTAACATAATTTTTTGATAATCTATAGTATATTCTAATATGTTGTTAAATAAGATTAGCTGTGTCATTTAACTATAGAATTTGTCTGGCGCTCGTGGACAAATGAAATTACTATCTCCATTTTAATTTATTTGCCTTGTAATTTGGCACAAAGTTTACGAAAATTATCAAAAGATTTTTGAATTACAAATTATAAATTGAAACAGGAGAAGGAATTAATAAGAAAGTGTTGGAGAAACTTACAAGAGAAGTATCAGATGGTTCAGTTCTCATATAAACTCTAGAAGTCTTAGTTTTAATGTGTTCTTCTCTTGGTTTCTTTGAAGATGAATCTTCATCACTTGAACTGCTCTCTGAATTCAACACTTGAACTGACGATTTCACAATTTCATTATTATTATTATTGTTTTCAACTTTTCTTTTCTTCGATCCATCGCTGTTCTGATCCTGATCAGCTCCACTAGTACTACTATTCTGCTTGCTCAAATATTCCGTCAATTGATTTCTCAATGAATTGTAATTCTGGCACATAACTGTAAGCATCTCCGTCAATTTCTTATTTTCAGCATTTACTCTATTTAGTTCCTCCATTAAATTGCCTGTCTGGACAAAACAACACAAAATTCAAAATCAGCATTTACTCATATAAACTTCAAATTCTGGATCTGCCATTGTAAGAAATCGGAGAAGAAGAAGAAGAAGATTTTACGAACCTCATCTTTGATAGGTAGTACGGGATCTCTTCCAAGTCCAATGAAATTACTCTCAACTTCCTGTTTCTGCAAGGAAAGTGAAATCATCAACAATTACGCAAATTATATCAATACATGATTATAGTGTATATTGTAAATTCACTTCCACATACCGGTAATTCATCGGAAACTCGAAGAGGTCTAAAGTTCAAATCCAAAGAAGTATCAACTAAACTGGTGAATTCCATTTGCTTTAATTTTGATTGTAATTTGTAAGAGAGAATAGGAAGGTATGTAATTGGGGGGGGGTTTGAAGTTTGGAAGCTGAAGCGCTTTGCCTATTTTGCCATCTTATTTATAGTTGTGAAAAACGTGAACTGATGGGATGTTAAATTGGTATATTCAGAAAATAATTAAATGTAGTACTAATTAATTGAGTGAGTTTGCTTTTCTTGTCGGCCCATATCTTCTTGTTTGAATTTCTTCCTTACTAGTCAAAGTCAAGCCTGCACCAAGGAAACTAGAAAGAAGCACATTGTATAAGACAAAACACATGAAATGAATTCTTATATCAGCTCACCGAGTATATGACCTTTAATAGAAGAATATAAAATTAGAATAGAAGGTTGATAAATAGTAAACGTATTTTTTCTCCATTCCTAAGTATTAGTATTACTATTGTATTAACTCGTTCATTTTTTTATTATTATGGTGCTTGGATCACTTTGAGCATACCTCGACTTATTTCATGAGATACTTAACCTCATGATGCTCAATTCACATTATTGATCACTAGACCCCATGCTTAGATGTAACTTATCGTTAGATTTCTATTATTACCTAATGTATCTTGAGACTCATTAATCTTATTATCTTGTTGTTATTTCTATTTGTTGTGATTAGCGTTTTTTCATCTTTCTTTGAGGCGGGGACTCATAATAATAACTTCTCTATCTTCTCATAATAAAAGTAAAATCTATATAAACATTATTCCTTTAACACTCCACTTATAAGATTATGTTGATTTGCACTCAGGGGTGAGACCTAGTGGAGTAGTGGTCAATAAAATGGTTGAGATTTATGAGGTCTCAAGTTCAATTTCTCCGGTGGAGACAAATTAAAAAACAGTACTAGGTGATCATTTCCATATGTCATAACCTTGATGGACAGAGTTATCTGATACCTATTAATTATTATGCGAAAATTGATCCAAATACCACAATTATTATTTTTTAAAATATGATGGTTTTGTTGTTTACAATATGAAGGGATTTTAATTCATATGGTATGGGCAGAGGATGGAGGATAAGATAATAGTCTTCGTAAATAAATAAATAGAATTTTTGTTTTGGTTCAATCTTCTTATCTAATTTTGTCACGTCAGCCGACATGCCTGTTTATAAATTAATAAAAAAAGAATATGATAGAGTTGTACCGTCTATTTATTTTTTTTCTTTATAAGTAGGGTAATGTGGGTTTTCTTTCCAATCACGTTTCCAATAATATTTTCCACGTTATCTCTAATATTATTTAATTCCCCGGCAAGGTCTGAACTTTATGACTTACCCAATTTTTTTATTAAAAAAATTACATTGAAAAACAGGAATACTAATTAATCAATTGATATGTACAATACGCGTTCTATATGTGTATTTTAATATGGATTTAAGTTATATACAAATACTTTTGTATTATCAATTCAATTTGACTCGTTATAACAGGTTATTCTTTTATTTTTCAGATTATCATAGCACACTTACTATAAAAAATTTATAATGGTTATAAGTGAACTTAAAAGATGGTACAAAAAAATTAATATATTAATAGCATGATGTGTGAATGAGATTATTTTAATCTTAAATAATTTGATAAGCTATTGATATAGTTAAAACGTGCTTGAAAAAACTTAATTCAACTTTCTTTTAATGGGAGGAAATTAAAATTTTCTCGATCTAAGTTTAAAAGTTTTAGAGGAATTATTTATTTCTTTTTGACTATGAATTAATCTATATATATAATTGTATTTTAATTCAAAAATGTCATGTCGAATGAGAAAATCTAGACTTTATAGGAAGAAAATTAATTTTTTATAAGCATTTAATTTTCTAGACTAGATAGAGAAAATTCATAATACATGGACGGCATGATAGACCATGAGTAAGAGTTGAATTTACACTTAAGAATGATATAAGGGGAAGAAAAGAAAAAAGAATCCTTCAAAATTGTCAATACATTTCATACGAGAAGACTTTTCCAACGTAGCTTCAAAATAGTTACTTTTGCAAGTCTTTTCCTTTTTTGGGGTTGTTTAGTATACTGGACAACCATAGATAATACGTTTTATGATTTTAAAAAAATAGTGTTTTGAGGGTTTTTCAATTCAATTCAAAAATTATTTTCTACTCTCTAGTAAAAATAAAAGATATTTTTTCAAAAATACTTTCTACTCACCAACCTGAGAAAATAAGTAAAAAATTTACTTGTTTTTCAGGAAAACATTTTCCTCCATACCAAACACACCCTAAGAGTGAAATATTCTCATGGACAAACAAGTTTATATTATTGGAGTATATAAATCAAACTCACAACATAAATACACAGCATAGTACTTAATTAGTCGTATTTCATCAAATGATCAAATAGCAAAACGTTTTATTTTCAAGAAAAACGTGAGAGAGAAAAAACAGTGGATTCATGAATTTCATAGCCATAGGGATTAACTTGATTTATACGGTAATACAGAAAAAGGGGAAAAATTAAGAAAAATGAGAAAATTAATTGAATCAGATGCAATGAACGGTAAACATCGTGTCAAAGTTGCTAATTAGAAAAAAAAAAGTATGATAAGTACAAATTGAGTCTTTTAACTATGTGCGGTTAGTAGTTAAATTAAAGTACATTTTAGTTAGACAATGGATTAGTGCCAGATTAATAAGTAGCTTAACTATATATATGATTGCCAATTAGTTTTTTTCAACTCTAAAATTGACCTGGACATTGACTAATTGGCTTCCACTTGTTTCACATTTTATTTTTATTCATTAAAAAAAATACCACTTCAACGTCTTTTTCACTTTCTTAATAAAGATTACTTTTTTAATTTTTCTCTTTTCAATTATATTACGTAAAATATTAATTGACTCTTGCCAAAACTTGTGGGTTTGTTCCATAACCTCTCAAGTCTTAACTGATTTTTAACGTACCTTTTACTTCTTCCGTTTCGTTTCATTTTACTTGGCTGTGACATTTTTCTTAAAAAGTAGTACATTTATTAGGGGTTAATTTATTAAATTAATTTTATTAATTGTTTGAAAATTTTAAATTTAATCATTAACTAAGTATTTTATACCGTTATTTGATGACAAGGGGTAGTATTGAATCTTTCTTGATTTGTTAAAATAAACAAATAAAAAATATATATATATATAATAAGAGAAGTGAAATAAAATCGAAAAAAATACATATTTATTTATTTATTTTCTCTCCAATTGAACGACATATATATATATATATATATATATATATATAAATATCATATACGGATTATTAATATAGACCAAAAATTGAAAAACATAGAAAAATTGTATTTCATATCGACCTAAAAAAAGTGTGATTGAAAAGACTGCATAGAACTAACTTTATCTTATGGAAATCGAAACCCCTCCCTGACATAATAATAGTCTAAATGGATAATTAATTAGGTAGTTTTTTTTTTTAGAACAAACATGTAAATTGCATAGACTTCGATTATTTTGACCTTTAAAAAAGTCTCCTACGTAATGAGAAATGCATTGAGAACTAATTCCATTTTAAGACTGCAATGATGGAAGACTTTCCACCTTTTTCTCTTTGATATTTTTTATTTTTTTACAAATAATTGTGTTTTTTATACTTGATCTCTACTCTGTTGATTTAATCAAAAAATTAAATGATTTGATGGATCTTATTTCAATTGTTTTTAACCTCTTTGTATAAATTTTATCATCATTTTCACGATAAATATTAAAAAATTTTACTCCGTCACTAATCCTAAAATAAGAAATAATAATCTCAACTTGGAGTATGCGGATGCGTCATATAATGTGAGGTCATGGAACTAATGACGGTGAAATTAAAATAATTAATGAACTAAACCTAGGTCCAGTCGAAGACTTATTTATTTTAATAAAATAATAATTTAGCATGATGCACCTGCAGGAACCATGACTTAGTCAGCCAGCCACTTAAAATTAGTTGGTGAACATTCATTGAATTGAAGGCTCATATAAAACATATGGTTACGTACATAGAATTCTTTTAATTTTCTACGTGTGTTCACACATTATTCAACATTCATGAACTAGGCTTAAATAAATTATTTTGTCGTCCACATCCATTTTACACTAAAAATTGTACACAATGACTTGTCTAATTTTCAAAAGTTGAATGTTTAGAATAATTAACAAGACTAGAAAAATACATTAGGATTAAATTGGATTGAAATTCAATTCAACCAAGCGTGCGTCTAGTCTTTTGCTTAAATTTTCCAAAACATAGGTCTTAGACTATTATTATTAGATTCTGATGATTAATTTTTAGCAAGCAAATGGGTTGTTGAATTATGACCTTTATTTTCATTTTCTTTTTGTAGGTCCCTTCCACCTCCCACTTGAATGTTCTTTGTCTTATATCATTTGTTTCTAATTCTTGTATTTCACTTTTTATAATTCGATTCAGTGGTTGAAATAAAAAAAAATATTAAAAAATTAAAAATAAAAGATATATGTATGCGAAAAATCAAAGAAAATTCAATATCTATGAACTTTCTCGGTCCTACCTAACTGACTGATTCCACTCTTGATTGTATCAATAAGTTCTTTTCCGATTCTAAATATATGATATACTAATAACTTAATTCATAAAATATTCATTAAATATGTTTTTCTATATACCAATATTAAATTTGGAGTACTTTCTTAAAAGAAAATTTTTAGATTCGTCATTACGTGGCTAATTTCTACCAGAGTGGACAGAATATTTTTTTTAAAATTATAAATTCTATATTCACCTCTAATTTCACCGATAGCCAACAAAAAATTAGTTGTAAAAACAAATAGTGGCAAAACATTGTCTGTGATGCATAGTCGACAAAAGTTGGAAATTTATGCACCGAAAGCAGCACAAGTTTGACACGCTTTTCCCCTAATTTGTTTCACTCTCATGTCATTTTAATTTATTTGTCATGTTACGTTTTTTAATTTATTATTTTTCTTTTAAAAAAAGGAAGAGGACTTTTTTTCAGCAAATTTTAATTTTAACTTTCCACGTGAT